CTGTGTTGTGTTTTGTTCAAATCATTTTATATTAATCTAGGCAGTTTAAGAAATTGGTTTCCGTTAATAATTTACATCTTATTCCAGAAAAACAAAAAAGAAAAGGAACAATGTGCAAATGGCTCAGCTTTCCAAAGGGATGTTGGTTGATTATAGGGTCTAAGTGCAGTAATATTTCACACTTTGCCTTTGTTTGTTGGAGTGAATGGAAGTTGTAGAAGAGTTTTGCTCCTGTACCATTCCCCTTCATTTCAATGGGACTTTCTGAGAGAGAATTAATTTGATTGTTCCCATTGTTTGTATCCCAGCTAAGAAGTTATTCACAGAATTTCTCATTCACGCAAAGTTATCTGTCTCTTTGTTTGATTACAATGCTGATGATAGATAGTATTTGACGTACTCCAAAGTGCTTTGCATATATTCCTTATTTATGATTTTATTTACAGAAATGCGTATGCACTTTTGCATAGTTTGTTGCATGAAATCAATAAAAATAGCTCTATAAAGCAAATCTGGCAACCCCCCAAAACTTGGCACAAATAGTAAAATGATGGTGCTGAGCCCACTAGTCAAAAGCACTGCAGTATAATCTGGTTTTACAAACCCTGCAAAATGACCATAGGAAGGAGATGCTGCACTCCTTGTTGGGCACTCCATACGAGCAGATCAGGATGTGCCACTAAGAAGGCTTGTGTCCTCACTGTTGCTGGTAGATGGATAGATGGCGCTATTTATATTCCATTTGGCATGTGTGTTGGCATAAGCAGGGCCGGCCCGAGGTTGTCCTGCACTCTAGGCGAGCGCAGATGCCAACCTCCCGGCGGGGCCTGGAGACACACTCTGGGCGTCCTTTTCCCGTGGCGGACGGTGTGTGTGTGGGGGGGTCTGGGTCTGCGCATCCCTGGCGCACCCCTCCTCCTCCTGTCGCAGCTGGCCTCTCCTGCCCGGCTGCGGCGCGGAAGGGGGGAGGGAGGGAGGGACCCCTTCTCCAGCCCAGCCTCTGCCTTTCTTGGGGGGGGGTGTAGGGGGGGGAGCTGCTCGGACCCGATTCGGGTGGCCCCACTTGCCAAAGGTCAGCGAGCCCTGCTGCCCGCTTGGTTGGCCAGCTGGCCTCTCTCTCCCCGTTGGACTGCAGTCCTCGACCGGGCCCCGTCGAACTCCGTGGGGAACTGGAGGCGGCGGCTGGCATCCCATTTCCTGGGCAAACTTTGCTCGGAGGAGGAGGCTTCACTGGCGAAGGGCCACTGGTCTGGGCTGCAGGTTCGTCGAGGACCTCCGGTGGGAGGCGGCCCGGGTTCGCCGGGGCTCTGCCGCCCTTCTCTCTCCGCTGGTCGTGGCTGCTGGCAGGCAGCCTCCAAGATCAGGCTCGGCAGAGAGGAGCGGTGCGGAGAAGCCCGCGGCTCCCGCCGAGCAGCCCGGCTGGGCTCTTGGGGCTCCGGAGGGAGGAGGGCGCTCTTCTCCGACGGCGCTCTTCTCCGACGGCGGCCCTGCCGGGCACGTTGACATGGCAGTCAGTGTCCCCAGGAGCACTGCCGGCAGACTGACCGGGGCGAAGGTGATCCGGGAGCAGAACCGCCCCGGCTCTCGAGGCCATGCCGCCTTGCCCACGTGGAAGGCCGCTGCGGCGGAGCCAAGGCGTGGGCGGTCCTGCGAGCGTGCAGCTCCGCAGGGCCCCGGAAGCACGTCGGAGCTGAGCTCGCATCCGCAGGCATCCACGCGGGGGGGGAACAGGAGGCTCAGGCGCCACCCCTCCGCCTCTCCCCCCCTCCGAGGGTCTCAGTCGTGCGAACTCGGGGGCGCCAGTGGGAACGTCTTTCTCGGCCTCTCCTGCCCCTCCCACTCGCCCGACAGCCAGCCAGGAGAGGCCGAGAAAGAAGGCAGCGGGGGGAGGAGGCGGAGGAAAGCGCAGCGCGGCTGGGCCGGAGAAGGGGCCCCGCCTGCCTACCCGCAAGCGGCCCCTCCCCCCACCCCCCAGGAGAGGCCGAGAAAGAAGGCGGGCGGGAGGAGGAAAGCGCCGCGCCCTGCCCACGCTGCCGCCGCACGTCCTCCTGCAGCCAGGCGGCAGAGTTTCTCCCAGCCCCGCTCCTCCCAGCTGCTGGCCAGGCGTCGGTGGCCGCCCCTGCCTCTCCTCCTGCGCCCCAACGGCCGGCTCGCGCTCTAGGCGAAGGCCTAGTTCGCCTAGCGGGCGAGCCAGCCCTGGGCATAAGATGCTTCTTTCGATATGTGAGTCTGAGATTTCGAAAGGATCTGTGGGTAAGAACATCACTGTGAACTTGACCTGGAAGTAGATTGGCAGCCAGCATAGGTGCCACTGAGTACCATACAATAAATAGGTAGCTGCATTCTGAATCAATCGATGCCTCGAATAGCTATCGTCATGTAGAGTCCAAAGTGGAAGTTATAGAAACATAAATCAATGTGGTTATATCATTTGAGTCTTGAAAGGGGAAGAGTCTGTGATCAGATGTCAGTGAAAAAAGGCATTTTTGACAACAGCACCTGTCTCCTCTGGAACCCTTTTTAAAGATGGGAGTGACATTAGCTACCTCCCAGTCCTTAGGAATGGAAGCAGATTCTAACGATAGATTACATATTTTTGTCAGGAGATCCACAAGCTCACATCTGAGTTCTTTCAGAACTCTGGGATGTATGCCATCTGGGCCTGGTGATTATCGGTCATAGGACTTCCTCTCTCATCACCTCAAACTGACAGGTCTTTCAACACCTGTCCCGAAATCAGCAGTTCTGGAGTGGGCAAGCACTTCTCATCTTCCACAGTGAAGACAGAGGCAAAAAATGCATTCAGCTTCTCAGCCATTTCCCTATCATCCCTCAGTAATCCTTTCGCCCCTTGGTCATCCAAGGGCCCCACTGCCTCCCTGGCTGGTTTCCTGCTTCTAATGTATTTGAAGAAAGTTTTATTGTTGATCTTTATGTTCTTTGCAATAAAGTCCTCATATTCCCTTTTTGCCTGCCTGATCACAGACTTGAATTTTATTTTCCACAGCCTGTGTTCCCTTTTATTAGCCTCACTGAGACTAGCTTGCCACTGCTTAAAGGAATCCTTCTTACCTTTTACAGCTTCCATTACTTTGTTTGTTAACCATGCAGGCCTTTTTCTATACCTATTTGTGCCTTTCCTAACCTGCGGTAAATATTTTTCTGAGCTTCTAGGATTGTAATTTTAAATAGTCTCCAAGCTTCCCCAGTGGTTTTGACCCTTTCTACTTTTCCTTTCAGTTTCCTCTTCACATGTCCCGTCATTTATACATTCATAGTTGTGGTGTAGACATTGTTTTAACAGTCACTCACACATTCCCACACTATTTCCACCCCTCTTTGCTCATATATAGCATTGTATCTGCACAAAGATATTAATGTTAACCATAGTTAGCCTTAATGGGGATTTTCAGCTTCAGACTCTGATTTAAAGCTAGCCATTGATCTCAGTGAGAGATGGAATGGCAGGGAGGTCTCATTATAGCTCAGCCTTCTATTTTATCTTGTGTGTAACTTTCCCTCTTGCAGAGATGCTCTTTATATCCTGTTTGAATAATATGAAACTACACTAGGTTGGATCCAGGCAGTTTTTCTAATAGTGTAAAATTGAGGAGTCATCCCATTTGACTAAGAAAGGCTGTGCTGGAGCTCATGGGACTGCACGGACAAAAGCTATTTGGAACAGAGGCCTTTAACATTGAGGGGAATTAGCAAGATTAAGTGAAAAAGCTGGCTGGATCCTACCCATTGTAGAGTTTATGGAAGTATACCAATGAATAAAGTTCCACATTTATACATGAGTTGGAAAATACTCATGCTCTGACTGAAAGAAAAATAAAATGATGGAAGCAACAGAATGGGATTCATTCAAAACTCAGTCTTGCTCATGGAAAATGAAATATATTTGTGGTCAAAGTGGGGCAACATGTAGTCTGTGAGTTGCTTCTTGAAGGGCATGAATACTGTGAACATTTAAAATAATTAGGTCGCATTTTTTAATTTTAAAAAATATTTTTAGCTCTATCATTTGCTGAAATGCATTTGAAAATGTGACAGCAATCCTACTGTACAGGGTTTTTTAAAAAATACCAGCATGTTGGTCCTAATTGAAGGAGGGACTCTGCAGACACATGGACAATGGAGCTCTGAGCAAGCAGGAATTTACTCATGTCATCCAGTGTCTTAAGACTGGATTCAAATCAAAATCCCACTGTGAGAATACTGTCATCACTGCAGTGCATAGAAAACCAATTTGGTGCAGTAGTTTCAGATGCTGGCTTTTATTCAACCAATGTTCCTAAACCTCTTAAGGGACATAAGTTTTCTTAAGAGGAGGTGGTGATTTCTGCAGATTCCTTTCTCCCACTTCAAGCCAATGAGTCCCCTCCCCATTTTATTCCTGGGGGTCAGCACAGCCCAGCGGGAATTGGTGGAAATTGCCATTCCCTAAACTTAATCATTTTTTTGAAACTGATTGAATACAGGTCAGGGCCTTTAGGGGAAGGCCCAGAAGCAGAGTATTTGCTTGGCATGCAGAAGGATCCCAATTAAGTCCACAGCAGATCCAGCTAAAATATATCTGCTACTAGGAAAAACCTGTCTCTGCCTGAGATTCTGCAGAGCTGCTGCTATTAAGAATATACAAGACTGAGCTTGAAGGATTAGGAGTCAGAGTTGATAGAAGGTAGCCTCACATTGTCATATGGTACCTGCTTTGTTGGGAGGTACTTACTGTTTAAAAATGATAGGATTTTTTTAAAGTTTAGCTCATTATTTCACTTTGGAAAATAGAACAAGAACATTATAGAAATGAGTGCGGCATATTCAGGGACCTCAGTTTGTTTATGATACGCAATTAAAATTAATTACAGGCAAGTAAATATGCATATTAGTTGCAGCCCTCTGGCACGTTATCTGAGACATGGCTATCAGTGCTACATCAGTGCATTTAATTTTATTCATACAGTTGCTTTAAAATTTGTCGCTTTTGCTGTTTTGAGGGCATGCCTTATTGGAAGAGGAAAATAAGATCTGGCATCTAGTTCGGCCAGTAGATGAAGTTGATGAGGGGAAATCGAAAAGAGGGAGCATGAAGGAGAAGGAGAGAACCAAAGCTATTACAGAAATATACCTGACAAGACTTCTCTCTGTGAAGGTAAGATTGAAACATCAAGTTAATTGGCATCATCCCCAGGGAAGGCTGTTAATTTCCTGTGTTAGGTATAAATGAACAGAGTAATAAGTTACCGTGTGGAATCTTACTTTGGGTCTGAGGTTTAAAATAGCAGTAATGGCTTTATCTTTGGCTTCTGAGTCTGCATTTCGCATTCCCAGAAATGTGACAAAAATGTGATAATATGGCAAAAATAACTCTCGAGAGAAGATGGAGAAAACTTACTCCCAGCTAATGGTTCGAAGTGCATAACAATTGAAATAAGACCAGTTCTGAGGCACTTAAAGGCTAGCTGTTTTATTATGACCTTTCCTAGAATGTAGGTGTCATAATATTCCTGTTAGTCTCTTAGGAAGGGTTCCTTAATGTGGCACCAATAGACATCATGATGCCTGCTAGGACTTCCCTTGGCACCTGCCAAACTTTTCAGGAAGTGAGTTGGGCCCATTGTATGGCAGGGCTTGTTGTTGGCTGCCTTCTTTCTAATGAAAGGGTTTTCCACTGGAGGATCTGGAAGACTGGTAAGCACCTGGGTTTTGCAAACTCATTGTGTGGCTTCATTCCCCCTTCAGGATTTCCTTCTTCCTATTTTGTTTGGCTCTGCCTCATACAGCAGCTATTTTGGGGTGACACTCACCACCCTCTCTTAGAATTCCAAAGATGTTCGCACTGTTATTCCCCTTCAATCCATGTTTTGTCAGCTCTGCTGTAAGAGTCTCTACTTCTCCTCCTGGCATTAAATTATCTATTGTCTTTTGACCCAAGAAGAGTGTGAATCCACATCAATCAAGTGCCAGGTCCCCAGTTAATACACTCTCCACAACACTATTGGTAGTGATGCTTTATTAGAGATATGCTTACATCAGGAACTTGAATTTTGTCAGGACTGAAGAAAGCATGCAAAAACTTCAGGTTATAGGTAAAACCCAAGTACACCCCCACCCCATGCATTTGTCAGCAGTCAGCCCCTAGTGTTACTATGGCAACCCTGAGATATATGGTGCCTTATCTAAGCTAGCACGGCAGAAATGTCTCCAAGGCCAAATCCCATGAGAACAGGCGGAGGGATACAATTTAGGAAATGGTTATGCCTACTACTGGCATCCACTCTAACAACACATACACTCCCCTCAGGAATTCCCTTCCCCCAATACATGGCAAGGAAAGCAGTGAAGCAAAACGAAGTGAAGCGAAACTGAAACCTTGATACCATGTGGAGGTGCCTGGCTACCTTAGTTGACACACTGGTGTATGATCACAGCTACTCTGTGCTTCCCTTTAAGATTAACTTTGCCTACCTGTATATCAACTCACAGTGCTACTAAAAATACCTTGCCTGTGAACAGCCTCTCAGAAGAGGTGGGGGGTGGGCAGTGCTACCTTCTTGGTTTTCAGGTAAAGCAAAAGTATTACGGCAGCAACCTTTTGGGGCAGTCTGAGCCCAGGCAGAAGGGAATTATTTTTTCTGAATATAAATAAGGGTGCTTTAGACTGGCTATTTTAGTAGTTTTTAATGTTTTAAACATTTGAATGTATGCAATTTTTAATGTCCTTAGCATTTATGATTGTTTATTGCCTTCAGTCCTAAGCTTTCAAGAGAAAGGCAGGAATATAAATATTCTAATTAAAAAAGATTTTAGTGAGAGTCTACAGTTGTCCCGAATTTGCTTTTTACAGAGCTGAGGATATCAGATTGGAATTATTACTGGTTGCTTCTCGGCCTTTTAGCTAAGATCAAGTGTTGTACTGGTTGCTCTGTGAAGCTTGGGGGCTAGTGAGACCATGACATTGGTCACCCATGCACAACTTCTCAGTGGTATCTGTGGAACATGTGACATTGCAGATGGGACCTGCTAGAGTGAGGCCGGGACTTCTGTGGCAACCCTGGCTCCTTGCAGGCAATATTCCTCTAACCCTAACCCAATTATTCTAAAATTACCTCCTCCTACAATACTCCCCCCCACACTTGATCAATAGCCACTAGAAGCCCAGAAGCTGCATTATAATTTAATAAATCATATAGAATGCAAACAAGGCAAAAGCCCAAAAGGTTCATGGAAGTATTAACAGAATGCATTCAGGAAACTAGGGTTGCCAAGTCGTACCTCGTCCTGAAGCGGGGGACTCCCGGGCACGCACGCACTGCATCCACGTCACCAGGAAGTGATGCGACCACGCCGGGCACACTGGGGGCGGGGCCACGACCATCCAAGGGAAAACCATAGAGCATGCCTGGCGTGATCGCATCACTTCCTGGTGACGTGCACGTCAGGGTGGAGTTCCGCCCCCCGGGGGGACTTGGCAAGCCTACAGGAAACATAATTATAAATGCATTAATTCACTATCCATTCCCTCTTTTGCTTATCTGACAGATTCAAAGTAGTCTCTGTTCCTGGAGCTACAGTGCTAAAATTCCCACTTTTTAAAAACAGGGCAGTATTATTTTTTCCCTGAGCTCCCTGGATTGTTTCTTATGGCCTATTCTTTTCATGGTGTTCATAAGAGCATTTACTACACATTTATAGATGAAAAATGCTTCACTTCAAGCCATTGTGATTCTGTGGTCATTTGGGACAAGAGCCCTGAACAGATGCCTATAAATCAGTTCAGAAAGTGTTCTTGTAAATTTGAAGGAATATTTTGGGGGAATGCTACACTTGCAGTATAGCCTGAATTTTTAATTTTTTTTAATTTTAATTCTCCTTCAGGGTACACTTCAACAGTTTGTAGATAACTTTTTTCACAGTGTTCTTGACTCAAACCATGTTGTGCCACCAGCTGTGAAATACTTCTTTGATTTCCTTGATGAGCAAGCAGAAAAGCATGAAATCAAAGATGAGGATACAATCCACATCTGGAAAACAAATAGGTAAGTGGTTGGGATTCTTGAGGAGAAGAGATGCAGACAATTAAAAAATAGCAGCAACCTAATGGTTGCATAGTATACACCTCAGCATTAAAAAATGATAGCGCTTGCATAAATAAACTAACTGCCATTCACTGAATCTTCAGAGTTCAGGACCCATATAGCAATAGAATTGCCTATCTTTTAAATGTTTTAAATGTTTTTGGTGTAAAGTACAGAAGCATGTGCTTGCATACTTATTCCTTTAGTAATTTAAGAGTATCATAAATGTGTTAGAGGTTTTAAATGAGCAGTTAAATATATATTGCTTCCAAGGGTTTCATCATCTGTATTCAGCTTCATTCCTTATTAAGGGCTTGGTGTCTTTCCTTGTTTCCTTCCCAGCTTGCCACTTAGGTTTTGGGTGAACATATTGAAAAACCCTCATTTCATCTTTGATGTTCATGTTCATGAAGTAGTGGATGCTTCCTTGTCAGTCATCGCACAGACTTTCATGGATGCTTGCACAAGAACAGAGCACAAATTAAGCAGGGTAAGTGTTTTATATCCTGCTCTGCATCTGCTTGTGCCAAAAAGGACATTAAAGTACATTATGATGGACAATGCTGTAATCATAGAAGATGGTGTGTAGATCAGTTAATTTTGCCTGTTCTTATTAGGATGCTTAAACTGTTTTGTGGGGTCAAGTGGAGTCCACTGCTTACTTTCCAGTGACACTTACAAAACAGCTATTGTCTAATGCTTTTAGAACACATCTAATTGCAGTTTAATATGTCTTCTTCTATTGTGAAGCATTGTTATCACTATTCATTATATTAATGAAGGCAAGGAGAAATTGTCTGAGACTTCAAGTTCCAAGACAAATTTAGGAATGCTTATTAAAAGTGACATCAGTGTATATTAGCAAGCAGAGAACAGTCCTGTGAGGAAGGCCAGCAATGAGGAGAGGTGGAGTTTGGGAGAGGGAAATGGAGGTACCATAAGTACCTGTATGAATGCCAGAAGCAAAGGGACAGTTTTTACATTCACCTAGCCAAGGATCCTTTTTGGGTGCTGGTCACACAAATGCCAACAAAGGTAATGTGTGATATAGGTTCTTCATGCATAGGCTTACAATTGGTGTGAATTTCCTTGATGTCTTTATAGTACGTTTTCTACCAGGATGGGAAGACAAGAGACAGTGGTTCATTCCTGCACAACAGGCATAGATGGTATACATGGTTTCTTCCATCTAGGTCTCTAAATGCTTATGGTATTTGGCTCTTGGTGTGGAGCAACGTATGTCTTCTCTACATTTAGGGAAGGGGCTCAGTGGTAGAGCTCCTGCTTTGCGTGTAGAACAGGGGAGGTCAAACTCGCTTAATGTAAGAGCCACATAGAATAAATATCAGATGTTTGAGAGCCGCAAGACATGAACAAATATTGCACACATGATTTTATTGGAAAATATGCAAATTTGCTTTTTATTAACATTAAATGAGACTGCCAAAAATAAGAACAAGAGGTAAAAACAGATATTGATAATGATATTTATTTGTCCAATTATATTTATTTGTTTGCTAATGACATTTATTTGTCTAAGAGAGAGAGAGAGAGAGGTGGAAAGAAAGAATGAAAGAGGTGGAAAGAAAGAGAAAAAAACAATGAAAGCAAATAGATGGGGGAGGGAGGGAGAGGTAGGAGGAAAGCAGCTTTAACTTTAAATGTGTCCTTCAAGCCCTCCATGTGCCCAAGCCAGCTGGCTTGGCTTGGAGTAGGAATTTAAAGAGACAAATGCCTTCTCCAAGCTGGCCATCAGGGTGGGGGCTTTGAGAATGCATTTAAAGCTAAAGTTGCTTACTTTCTCTGCCCCCCCCCATCTCAAGCCTACCCAGGGAGGGGAACACTGGCTGGGAAAGGGAAGACCGGTTGGGGAGGCATGCCTTCCCTTCCCTTCCCCAGCTGCCCTGTCAGGAGCCACACAATATGTGTGAAAGAGCCAAATGTGGATCCCAAGCCACAGTTTGGCCACCCTTGGTGTAGAAGATCTCAGGTTCAGTTCCTGGTTTCTCCATGGATAAAATAGGAAGTGATGTGAAAGACTGCCACATGATACCTTAGAAAGCTATAATCAGAGCAAACAATCGACTGATGCAGCATAAGGGCAACTTGTGAATGGATATTCTGCTAACCCATATCTTGTCCAATCTACCATTCCTGGGTAAAGTGGTAGAGAGGGCAGTGGCAACACAACTTCAGGCTTTCGTGGAGGAAGCTAAAGTCCTGAAAGTCTGGCTTTTGCCCACCCATGGGATGGAGACAATCCTGGTCACCCTGGTGGATAATCTCCAGAGACCTGGACCGAGGCGGATCGGCACTGCTGATTCTTCTTGACCTATCAACAGTGTTCGGGGACAGAGGGTGGCACTTGGGGGGGAGTTATCCCAGCGGCATCCATTCTTTCTCCCATGTTGTTCAATATCTATATGCGCCCCCTCACCCAGATTATTTGGAGATATGGGCTGGGTTGTCACCAGTACACAGATGACACCCAGCTCTGTCTACTGATGGACAGCCACCTGGACACGGCCCCAGGACATCTGGATGAGGTGTTACAGGCTGTGGCTGGATGGTTATTACAGAGCCGACTGAAATTAAATCCATCTAAGATGGAGGTCCTGTACCTGAATCGTGGGTGATTGGGTCAGGGGATTAGGCTCCCAACCTTCAATGGAGCTCCATTGGGGCGTACATCAGGGGTGAAGAGTCTGGGGGTGTTCCTGGATGCCTCCCTCTCCATGGATACCCAGGTCACTGCCACTGCCAGATCTGCCTTTTTCTATCTGAGGCGGATCAGGCAGTCAGCCCCATGTTTCACTCCCTGAGACCTAGCTACAGTGACCCATGCAATGGTCACTTCCAAACTGGATTATTGTAACTCTCTCTGCATGGGGCTGCCCTTGACTCTGCTCCGGAAGTTGCAGCTAGTGCAGAATGTGGCAGCACAGGTGTTGACGGTGACACCTGTGTGGGCTCATATCCACCCAGTGCAGCATGAACTGCACTGGCTGCCTGTTGAATTCCAGATCCGTTTCAAGGTGCTGGTGCTTACCTTTAAAGCCCTATACAGCCAGGGGCCAGCATACCTACGAGACCGCCTCTCCCCATATGAGCCCCAGGGGGCACGGAGGTCCACAAATCAACATCTCTTGGTGGTCCCTGGCCCCAGGGACATCTGATTAGCCTCGGCCAGGACCAGGGCCTTCTCAGCCCTGGCCCCTGCCTGGTGGAACGAGCTCCCCTATGAAATTAGGGCCCTGTGGGATTTATTGCAGTTCTTCCACTGGATATTTGGTTGAGGTAGCAGACGTCCCTTCCCTCCCCAGCCTTTGGCCAATCACCCATCAGTGGCCTGGATTTGACTGGACATCTGATTAGACATCAGATTTAAACTAACATCTGCTTTTACACGGTATTTTATGATATTATTCTATGCAAATTATTATTTTAATGTTATTTTAATTGTATTATTTAATTGTTGTACACTGCCCTGAGCCTGTCCAGGGAGGGCGGTATATAAATAAAATAAAATAAATAAATAAATCTTCAAACTTTTAGTTACAACCTAGCATATTTCTTGCCTTAAAAAGACAACATTTTCTGTCTCCCATTTTTAGGATTCTCCAAGTAATAAATTGCTCTATGCAAAAGAAATCTCTACATATAAGAAGATGGTGGAAGAGTAAGTAGAAAAAGAACCATTTTTGGACTGTTTCCCTGATGATGATGAAGGCCCAGTTCTTGTCCTGAACAGTTAGGAGAATGGTTGTACACTAGAAATAGTCACTACGATAAAGTGATAGGACAGATTCCTCCTAGATTTTATCAAATGTGTATAAAGCAGTAAACATTTAAGCTGTTGTCTCCCAAATATATTCTGCCATTTTAATTATTGGGGGGAAACATTCTTGATTTTTTTGAAACAGACCCTGTGGGAAACTGGGTTTGTTTCTCTGGAATGTGTGAAACAGCCTGTCAGCTGGAGTTTTCCTTTCCAGTCTGTAAACATTTCAGTTCAAAGTTCAGTACTTTGAAACATGCATAAACACTTTTATACTGTTCATGGGGGATTTGTTACCTTTGGAGCTGCTGGCTTTGATCCATTGCAGCATTTCCATGGGTGGTTTTATGCCAGCAGAGTGTTTCCCACTCCTGCTGCAGCACTCCTGCAGTGTCATTCCTGAGGCTCCCCTGTCCCCAAGAGCAGCATTTCAGTGGGCATTTTGGGATGCACTAGAGGTTGAGAGAGAAAGTCACACTCCACAGGCAGCAACCCTTCTACTAGGGCAAAATGCTGTACTGGATCCAAGTTGTAATGGCTAGTCCTCAGGATCTAGATGCATGTTTAAAAGTGTTCCCATGCAATGGGAACTCTGCATCACTGCTGATATTGTAATGTGTGGACAGACACTACATAGTTCTTCACTGAATGTTTTTCACTTATTAAAATGGTACCCTGACTTCTGGATATGGGGAACAGTTTTAAATATAGCCAGTCTGCAAACCAGACCAATGGAGTTCATTCACACTGGTTGATCATGGGGTAAATGATACCTAGACTTGTTTTCTTCCGTAAGCTCTTGGTGGTTTCTTCTGTGCTATAAAATGTACAAGAATAAGAATATACCTAGTCATGTAAATGGACATGACATTTTATAGGAATGAAAAACTCATCCAATCTTTTCTAATACATTGTACAGAGAGTTTGATTACTTGGTGCTAAGTGGCAACGGATGTTGGCCTTAGCAGCAGTGCACAGCTCTGTTGAAATGAATTGGTATTTTGTTGGATGCAATACTGATGGAGTGTGCCATTCTGTGCTTAACTAAAGAAGAAACAAAAACTGGCATTTAGCGCTCTAAGGCATTTCTGATAGGGAAGCCTGTGGTCTGTCACAGTAGGGGCAATCAAATTGTCTTATTGAGAAATGTAAAAAAAGAAATCTCTGCAAAAACAGAATTGCATAAAAAGGAGTGTTATGTCACTTCAGCTAAACCGGTCCTTTGGTTTGTTTGTAGCTACTACAAAGGTATTCGCCAAATGGTACAAGTAAGCGACCAGGATATGAATACACATTTAGCAGAGATTTCTAGGGTAAGTATCACATTGAAATTATTTCCCAGGAACCAGGAGCAAAATTGGCGTCTGATTCTGTGGCTCATTCTTTCTGATGCATAGCTGTTTTTTGTGCTGAAGTCCAGTGAAGGTGTCTGAACATCTCTGGAGTCCTTTGGATTAATTGTTAATACAAGTACATTGCTTGTGAATTATTGATTTTAAAGGATATGCAAAACATCTCGTTAAGGTTGGTTGATCATACTAATTTTAACATTTTCAGGGTGTGTCTGTGTTTTCATGTATGACAAGCAGGCTTTTGAAGCCTCTAAACATCTATTTTCACATTTTGTTTCCATGGGTTTCAGATTCCTAATAATTTATATCATTGTGATGGCACACATGAAAAAAAATTGTATTCTTACAGTGTAAACATAAGAACATAAGAGACGCCAATGTTGGATCAGGCCAAAGGCCCATCCAGTCCAACACTCTGTGTCACACAGTGGCCAGAAATACCAGTGCCATCAGGAGGTCCACCAGTGGGGCCAGGACATTAGAAGCCCTCCCACTGTTGACCCCCCCCCAAGCAACAGAGGCACTGTTTTTAATGGTCATAAAATGAGGCACTACTTTGAAAAACAACTTTATTTAGTAACTTGCATATGCCACATTCTTAAGATTAATGTTTAAAAACTTAATTCAGAGATATGGATGTACTTATTGTGAAGTTGGTGTTTTCTGGAAATGGATGTAACTCAGATGGAACTAATTTGAACCAAAGGAGTTTTCACTGTTTGTTGTATGTGCCCATAGGGCCTGTAGACATGTCTTGAGCCAAATCTGTGATCAGACAAACACCACTTATCACCTTATACATACATTTTCATTCACTGCGTTCTCTGTGATGAGGAAAGCAGTGTAGTAGCTGTAACAGATCCGGTAAGACACTTTGACATGGGAATGCTGAAAAAAGTCGGTTTTATTTCCTCTCCAATCCAGACACCTATTAAAAGATTTAAGAACCAAAGCTGGAATATGGAAAAAGGATTTGCATCATATCTGGTGCTTCTATATGTGTTTCATTAAAGGTCTTAGACAGCCAAGAACTGCGTCCTGACAGATTCCTTTTCTCTCTGTTTAATTTTAATAGGCGCACACAGACTCATTAAATACACTTGTGGCTTTACACCAGCTATACCAGTATACGAACAAATACTATGATGAGGTAAGTTTCCACTGCCAAGCTTTCTCTATTGTGCTATAAAGGAATCACCAGCACGCAGAATGTTTTAGACACCAGAAATAGCCTTCAAGTCTATGAATTAACTGATGCTTGGGATGTACAGTTCAAGAAAAATTGAGCCATTTACTTTGGTATTTTTCAAGCATGCTCAGAAGAAACCATAATGGTAATAACCATAACAAACATGGCAGCTTTCATGGGTGCATGTTCATTTGGGGAATAAAGATGGAGAATATTCATATTGGAGAGATGAATGGAGCCATAGGTGGTTACAGACCACAAGCTCTTTGTTCCATGCGCTGGATTAAATTCAGCCTTGAGGAAGCTGCATTCATCGGGTTTTATCAAAAGTTTGCTAACAGCCACAGAAGTGTAAAGTAATCTTTAATCTTTAAAGTAATAATGTAAATTGATAAAGTCAACAATTGGTTTAGCCAAATGTGAGCCTCTAGATAGCACCATATAATTTATTATTTGTTTACTTACTATATTTATACTATATTAAAGTAGATTGCACAGTGTAAAACAATACAATCAAATAGCATGAGACATCCAACAAACAGTGCATTAGTACAAGGATTACAAAAAAATGGAATTACAATAAAAACAGTACAGTAAGAACAAGATAATACATACAATAAAGAGTGGAATAGACTATAGCCCTGTTGTTATATTCTTCTTTCTTGAATGGAAGTTATGAAAATCTCTACAACAAATTTTCTATCTTGCTACTATTTCTGCTACACTTTTTAGATTTATTGTATTTGCTTCAAATTTTTTATGATGCTCATCCTTAAATAGTTAAGGATACTTACAGATATATCCAGCTGTGTTTGGCAGCAACTTCAGCATTGGGTTTGCAGAGTAAAGTTGCCAAGTTCAAGCTGGGGCCTAGAGATAGTCTGGAATTGTAACACATCTCCAGTCTATGGTTCCCTGGAGCAAAAGGTGTACTCGATGGCATTCTACCCCACTGAGGTCTCTCCCCAGGATCCACCCCCAGATCTCCAGGAATTTCTCAACCTGGAGTTGGCAACCCTATTTCAGAGGCACATTTAGCTTTGCCTCCACAGTGTGTGTGTGATAATTGCTTTTTCAGAAGACAGCTTTGGCTGCTGTTCTAAAGATGCTTAGGAATTAGATTCTTTGAAATCCAAGGGGGGGTTGCCTCTAAGTAAATGTGTATAGGATCAGGAAGTACCGGTAATTCTGCAAACCAAAACTCTGGAGTCAAATATCCAGTCTCATACTTTATTGGCACACCTTGCCCTGAATCCCACTTGTTTATTTTCTTCCAGATCATAAATGCACTTGAAGAGGACCCAGCTGCACAGAAGATGCAGCTTGCTTTTCGATTACAACAGATAGCGGCTGCATTAGAGAATAAAGTGACTGACCTTTGATTTGAAAGCTGCAATAAAGAAGTCTGATCTGAAGATGTGTAAATTAATTCTTCCTGATATGGAAAATAGTGTTCTATTTTTTAATGTGTAATTACAACTTTAAATGGGGGGAAATCATTTTTTATAGCAAAGCTGTAATGTAAAGAGTTTTTACTGTAAATTATGCTTCTAATTAAAATCTTGTGTTGTGTGTGAATGAATTTCCATTTGGAAATGAGGGGAAGTCCTTAGAGGGTGGGGGGTGGTAAAGTTATAGCTCATTTAATCAACTAGTACAATCTTGAAGCATCAGCATTCTTAGAATTCATTATTCTAGTAAATTCCATACTTATAGTATTCTTTATACTTTAAGCAATATTTGTACTAGAAAAGTGCTAGCATATTGGAAAAATAAATGCAATAGCCCCCTTTTGATTTCAAGAATTGGAAATTAATTTTTAAAAATCTTTTTGAATTCCCATTGTCTGTATTCTGCTCATAATGAGTAGGATAAAAGACACATTTGCTATGACTTTTTTGTTAAGACATTCTGCTGGATTTTAGTACTATACGGCTTTATGTACATGATAACTAAGTGCTTAAAACAATCATGGCTGTGACTGCAGCTCTTAAAACTCAGTTTTCTGAGATCAAAGTGGACACACTGTGGATGAACTGGAATAATTTGATCCTTTAATTGGGAGGGGTCTATGTGTCCCCAGTATCATCTAAATCCTTTAGGGGGGGGAACCCTGAGAGTTTCAGGATAGAAACTGAAGGATTCTCAATATGAAGCTACAGAGCAAGATCACCAAGTGCTTCCAAACACCCAACTCTGGTCCAACGTGCCACTGGCAAAAATGAGAAAGGATAATCTGTCTCTCCAGATTTTTTTAGAGGGATTATTCGCATTGGTCCACCACACCATGGCTCTTTTGCTCTGGTTTTGCCATAAAGATGCCGAATTACACTCTGAGGGAAAGTGTCCATGTTCAACCAAAGCAAATGAAGTTTTTGCTGTGTAAAAGTACAGTATGATCACACTGAGCCACAGTAGAACTAGGTTTGGTGAGCTACTGGTCTGCCCTGAAGGAGATGTGTGAGAGAGTCTTTAGCCACCAGTAAGGGAATGCACTGAGGACAAAGTCTAATTTGGTTCAGCAATCATGGCAAATTGTCAGCCTTTCAAAGGTCCGTTTTTGTTCTTTTTTAATAGTTACTTTTATTATATATGCTAATGTGCCTTACTTGTACTAATTATGTGAATCTGAATGGTTTTTTGTAAAGAGAATCATATCAAAAATATTTATGTGTGAGTTGATGACTTTTGTGAGAAACATGACCAGCAGAATGCCTGTAATTAGCTTCTCGCCTATTGTGTGCTGTTCAACACGATTCAAATATGTATATCTTTTTTTTTTGAATGGTTCATAGGATTTTTTTAAAACAGTCCTGCATCTTCGCACCATCCTAGGAGATTCACTATTTGGTTGGGAGGGGATGCTCTAAAACAAACAAAACTGTATTAATAATATAATTTGTTCAGAAGGGGGGGAAATCCCATGTTCCATTTATAGTAAACACCACTTGAGCCTTGGAATGCTGCAATGGATGGCATAATAATCATTAACATATTGCTGTGGAAATTAAAGTAACTTGTCAAAAATGTAATGTGTGTTTACAATCGAAGTCGGCTTCCGGGCAATTTGATAAAGCTTGGTACGTTATCTTAAATTGCTGTGTTGCACAAAAGAAAGCAATCTTTGTTACTTTCTTTTCTCACTGTAGTTTTTGACATTGCTCTGTGTTTTCTGTCCTGCTGTGTCTCAGAAACTTACTTGACTCTTAACACAGTAACAGAGTTTCAGTTGCTACCTCGCCCTGTACTGTAGTCACTCTTTAATTTTTCCCCCTTTTGTTCATCTTCAAATGTATCAGTGGTGGTCTTGATTTCTGTGAAGCCAACTTGACGGCCACTGACTTCAACACAAGTGAACCGTGAGCTGGCTTAGAAATTAAAAGGGAGAAGCAGGGTGTAACAGCTGACGTCTTTCCTTTGAACATTTATGCTGTTGCATTCATCTGCATACCCAGCTGAACATGTCTGGAATGTAAGGAACTATGAACTGTCTGGATCTGTTTACCTAAGAATTGTGTGTCAAACTAAGCCTCTATACTTGCCTTCTGTCTGATCAACATACGTATCCAAACTTGCTAATCTGTTTGTCATTATTTGTAAATCCTGTTAATTGTAAATCAAATACATTTTTCCACAAAGTGTTATACCTGAATTGTTTGAATTATTCTTTTTTATTTTCAAGACTAAACTAGTCATATCTGTGAAAGGGTATTGGCTGGGCTTTTTCACTCATTTCCCCCTTTGTAGTTTTATTTCAAAGTCTATCATGTTTGTATCCTCCCCTTCCTCCAAGGAGCTCAGATACAGAGTTTTCCATCTTGTTCTCACAGCAGCCTTGTTGATGGGCCCAAGATCACCCACTGAGCTCTGTGGCATGAACCTGGTTCTCTCCAGCACTACTCCAACACTTCAACCACTGTGCAGCGCTGACCATAAACCGAAGCATGTTCTAGATTTCTTCTCCTAGCTTGACTCTCTTGTCCACAACTTCATAGACAAAAAATTTAGGATTAAGGTAATGGATCAGGTCTTATGGATAATCAAAGCAGAACAGACCTTTGAAATGTTGGCTCAGGTAAACCTTGTTCATGCAACCAGGTTCCAGTTCTCTGTTCTTGGCACATGGAGGAAGACTACTGTATAAATTACTGGTAAGTGTCCTTTTGGGGGACTACTTAATGCTTTTGGAGACTAGGTTCTTAAGTGGTTGTAAATGCAAGCAAATTCAGATGGTGAAAGCCACAAGTATCCAGATAACATTTGCCTAAAGCTTGAGCATCTGAACGGTTGCCTTAGCAAAACAAGCTTGGATTCTTTGCTCTGAAATCTAATCTTGCAGGTGTCCCCAGACAAGCCACAATTTGTTCATGATCTAAATCAAGGTCATGATAAAATACTACCCTGGTTTAGGAATCATCAAAGCTAATTTGGATTTATTGTGACATCTAAGTTCTCAAGCAACATAACAATTTGTAATTTGTTTTCGCAGCATTACATAGTCATCTTCTCATGTAATTGAAAATGGTGCCAAAGACTCTATCTCATCCAGCTGGTCTTACTGAGTAGCTAGACTTGATGTACACACTACATGGTCTTTCCTTGCCTTTTGACCAGGCAGTTTGGTAGGGAAGATACTGCTTTGTTAGCTGCACAGTAACCAGTTTGGTGTAGTGGTTAAGTGTGTGGACTCTAATCTGGGAGAACCGGGTTTGATTCCCCACTCCTCCACTTGCACCTGCTGATGTGACCTTGGGTCAGTCACAAGCTCTGGCACAGCTGTTCTTGATAAAGAGCAGTTTGTGTCACAGTTCTCTCAGCCCCACCCACCTCACAGGGTGTCTGTTGTGGGGAGGGGAAGGGAAAGGCGTTTGTAAGCCACTCTGAGACTCAAAGTGAAGGGCGGGGTATAAATCCAATCTCTTCTTCTTCTTATCAGCCCTTGCTGATTAAGACAGGAACAGCCCAAATCTGTATAACACTTTTGGAAACCTATATTATACTTATGCAAACTTAAAAACAAATATGAATACAATTTATATAAGAGGTTTATGTTAATTTGTAGATTTGGTCTATATTATGATCAGAACACAAGTATGGGACCAGTCAATGTCTTCATGGGAGACCTCATGGGAACCCTTAGTATGTTTCTCTGAGTTCCATAATGGAAGACAAGTACAATATAAATGTTATACATTTGGGGAAGTGGGTTACAAATGTAAAAACAAATTTAGGTGACTGTATCTAGGATGGGTCATTTCCATGAAGGGCTTTAGGGAGGATTTTCTCATCCCAGACTTAGACTGTTCCACCCCTGGACCACGGAGAAGGAAGATTCACCGTAAGTGACAAAAAGTGACACAAATGAAGGGCTGTAGGGAGGATTTTCTCATCCCAGGACAGCTTTGAATAGTGCTGCTCAATAAAGAGGGACAGAGCTCGTGATACAGAGATGTAAAGTATAAGCCACAGTCTTAAGAAATGAATCCCAACAGAAACTTGAAGGTTCAGGCAAATCATCCAATGGTTTTGTTGCTAATTGTCTGTACATTAGAACCAGCAACTCAGCTGATACGGCAATGGAACTGTAGGGGATAGAGCAAGCGAAGACCTGGAAATGCAGCCCATGAGGGGATAGTTTGTGATGCAAATATGTAGTAGCCATGCAAATATGTAATAGCCATGGGTAGGGCTCCATCCTCAAAACATGTCCAGCCCTAAGCCAGCTTTGTAAAACCATCTGATCTGGTTAAAAAGGGGGTGGGGATGGAAAACCCAGAATGGGTAGGACAGTATCTTAAAAGCCTGGAATTCTGATGGCATTCAAAATTTCACCCTGTCATGACCCCAGAGGGTTGCCACCTTCTGCCACCACCACCCTGGACTTCGGTCCCTTGAGAAGGCCCGGGGTACCTTCCCAAGCCCCTTCAAATTGCCCCTTTGTAGCCGAGAACGTAAGCGTGACGACCAGGCAGAGAAACAGTGGAACAAAAACGGTTTATTATTACAGTACTGGGGCAAGGAAAAACAAGACAAGACAGGGTGCTTTAAAGGTATAACAGTGCTTAAAGGAAAAATAATCAAACCTAATGTGACTAACTACTTCACTTTAACTGTTACTACTTCAGGCGTGCAGCCATCTATAAACCAGGCTTGTCCTGTACTCACTCTCCCAGTGAGGGAACTTTTTCCCAGACCAGTCTTCTCAGTTCACTCCTTTTTTTTTTTTTTTGGTAAACAATTTTTTTATTTTTCTCAGGAATACAACGTATACAGTTAAAACATTTCATTCTATCAATTGTCTACCCCATTCCCAATTCCTCCCCTCCCTCCAATGGCTTCCCGCAATGCTTCCACCCCTGCTCCAAATTACTTCGTATCATCAACTATATCAATTTCTTATCATTACAATCTAAAGATAACATCATTTGACTTAATATTGATCTAAACATATCAAGTTTTGTTTCACATCCCAGTTCTTTTCCAGATATA